GACTTGGTTCTATGGTAGGTCTTAAAGGGTTAACAGCTGTTACTAGGAAAAAATACTTTTTTGTTTTTTGTTTCATGCCACTAATGAAATTACTACTAAAAACAATAAACTCCTGATCAGTCCTCCTCCTATATCTCAGGTATCCAACCAAGTTCAGCCCCATTGCAGAGATTTCCTAGTAGACGTCTAGAAATACAGCATCCTCTGCATTACACTGATTAGCTGGTTCACTTCTCATCGACCACGCTAATCATATTCATCATGGATGAGAAGCTATTGGAGATTAAATCAGTCAACATTCATCTGTGATGAATAAGTGATTTCTGCAGTGCGAGGGACCCTTCACATTAAAAGATCTGTCACTTTGGGCCCAAGAGAATTTCATTTTCATGGATTTGATTTTTCAGTTTCTCTAACAAAACTTGGTTAAATTCATTAATGATATGATTTTTTTAGGTCATGAGTGCTCTTTTCTAAAATGACTTCACTGCACAGCATCACTGAGAATTTTGTTTTTGCTTATATTATATACAGATGTCGTCTTGCTCTTTTGATGCTGCTGTGATCGTTATTCTCAGTCTGGATGTAGAAGCTTTTTCTAAAATGGATTTTTCATTAATGCTCTGCTATTACGCTGCATTTGCTTTTGTCAGTCTTGCTTATTTGGTGATGGGATCCTTTATTATGCTATAATTATTTATTATCAAAATTTTTGCATTTCTCAAAGCACCAATGGTCTCTTATCTTTATTTTAATGGATATTTTTACTGTACATGATAATCCAGGTTTTATATTTATGGTTGGCTGTAGTTCTGCTTTATTTTCATCTATAGTTTTAACTTGTCTCCATGTTTAATACACAGATGTCTTAAAAAAGACAAAATAAACACCTATTTGATTAAAAGCTGAACAAAATGTTGTTATTACAAAGTGATGAAAGGTTTTTTTAATCATTTTTCAGGCAGTGCTGTTGATAATAGTTCTGTTTGTTGCTTTGTTTTTGTTTTGTTTTTTTCTTGCAATGAATTTTGAAGAAAACCACTTTTCTCTGGTAAAATCCAATCAATGGTTACCGCTGCTTGTATTGTTTTCATCTTCACAAAGAGCAAAATAAAGTGTTTTACCCAAATTATTCTTGGGTTTCTGTGTTTAAGTTCACACAGCAGTGATTGAGAAACATTGCAGAGGACTTTTCTGAACTGCAAACATTAAGAAATGCTGTCGACTAATTACAGCTGTTCGTTTTTCCAGCCTCGTATTTATATTTCAACTGGATGATGTCTCACACACTGCTCTTCTTTGTCACAGACCTGCCCCCTCCGGCAACCAGAGACCGCCCTCCGGGATGTAAGACTGTGTTTGTCGGCGGTCTGCCAGAAAACGCCACAGAGCAGCTCATCATGGAGGTCTTTGGGCAGTGTGGTGACATCACAGCCATACGCAAAAGCAAGAAGAACTTTTGCCACATCAGATTTGCGGAGGAGCCGACTGTGGACAAGGCGCTTTTCCTGTCAGGTAAGAGGTCGCGAATCTAAAGCCTTCATTTTATTTTGGATATTTTTTTCTTTCTCTGTAAAGTCTAGAGATGCTGGTACAGGAAACTCCCAGTCAATCAGTGCATTTGTAATTCACCTTCAGCATCCGAGGTTAAACTTTGTGGCTGTACCACAAAGAAGAGCGTTCAATTATTAAAAATGTTTTTATATTTCTTTATTCGACTGAGCACTAGCAGAAATCAAAAACTGGCTCTGATCTAAGCAGAGTTTTCTACTACAGGTGCCAAAGAAATCCATTTACCATAAAGGCAAATAAACCTCTACTAACCATGTATCATTGGCTTATAGGCTACTATATTATCTCGTCCTTATTATTTTGACAGTAGCTTCTGGACTACACCTTAAATCTCTCAGAGCAAACACGTTGTCCTGTGTTCCTGCTCCCCCCAATTCAGAAATCTTCTCTGCGTTATTGTGTGTCCATGCAGGTAGGCAGATGTGCGTCTGAGTGTGGGTTTGAATGAGAGACCCGTCGATTTCGTCCGCATATACTCTTACAGTGAGATGTGGGAGTGGGGGTCCATATATTAAAGTGATGACAGAGCTGTGTAGTTCCCCCATAAATAACACCACACACACACACTGTGCAAACAGTACCTAGAAATGACACCCACTCAAGCAGCCCCAGCACACCGAGATCTCCTCATATGAAATATTGAAGCAGCAGCAGGCTGGGAGCCTGAAGCAGACGGAGCAGACAGAGACCCCTGAAATCGCGCTCGTTTCTTTTCCTGCTTTTATTTTTGGTTTGTTGTTGTCGGCATCCAACGCTGCTTCACCCTCTTTTTATTTTTCCTTTGATGAGACTGTGTTGTGTCTGTCAGTAAATCACTCTGCACATCATTACGTTGCTCAGTTGGAAAACACACTCTTACACGTGTGACCGAAAACACACGTTGGATGCACTCTCTGATCATTTCGAAGCAATTAAATCACAAAATGGACCAGATTTCACTTCAGTCCACAACCAGCCATTAGTGGAAATTGAGTAAGGAGGGGAGAGTGGGGATAAGTGGGAACTAGTGTGGAGAAGAGTGGGGGTAATGAGGGATATTGTGGTGTTTCAGTGCCACTAGAGAAGTAATTGGCCTCTCTAAGTCTCCCTTGTGTATTCCCAAAAGGATGCAGGCCTTCTGTGCTCCACAAACCCTACAGCTAATATATCTTCTCAAACCAAGAGATCTAACAAGAAGAAGAGAGTAATGATGAGGGCGCGCTGGGGGTGAATCAACTCGTAGATCCCAATAAAAAGTGTCTTCACTGGATTTTGTTGGATCTAAATACACGTTGAAAGTAATGGAAAGTGTTTTACTGTTGGCTCAGAGGAAATCCCCAGACTACACATACCTTTTTAGAGTGTCACTCCTTTCAAATGTATTGCTTTTCAGTTCAGTCGAGTGTAACTTAAATCATTTTTCTCCGTTTTTTTTGAGCAGTGTAGAAGGTGTAAGACTAATGGAGAGTACCACAGACAAATGAGCACGCTTTAATGAGAAGCTGATGTAAACAGGACGCACGAATTTGACAGATGTCCGGAATTAGAAGCATCCATGTTTTGCTGCAGTCTACGTGCCACAGGCGGCTGTGTAACTGTTACTCTGTCAGTTACAACGTGACGAGTGATGTCACATGTTACCTTTTTTTTCCTTCGTGTTCTGAACTGTGAAGTAACAAATGAAACCCGAGGCTTTGTGAAACAGAAACAATGTAGCAGTGTTTAGACTAAATTCTGAAATCGTAACATGTAACAGCTGTGATCTGTTACTAAGCAGCCATTTTTGCACACAGTTTTTATAATGTCTTTCTTGAAGCTGTCGAATTCGTCCTTCATTTCTTGTGTGATGTCTTTCTTAAACGTGGCAACCTCAGTTTTAAACTCTGCTTTAAGTGAGTGAATTTCCTTAATGATATCCTGGAAGTCTGGGTGAGGGTGGCTAGCTACATCTCCTTCCATCTGCTCGCCTTGCACGCTGTTCTTGGACATGTCTGCGTTGCCTCCTCTTGCCAGCTCCACTTGTTTCACAAAATCCTTAATGTTTCCTTGTCTTTTTGACCTTCTTCCACCTTCCATGGCATTTATTACACCGTTTAGTGGTGGAAATATTCGAATTCTGGTTCTTTTTTGAGTTTTGACCAGGAGCTGCAAGCTTGTGCTGCCATCTTCCTTACGTCCCCCTAGTGGTCTCCCTCACAGTTTTTATAATGTGATGTGCAATCTGCAGGTGCACAAAGTTGTTCACTTGTATAGATACGTTGACCGTTGCTCCTTCTGCTCCTCCACATTATTTCTCTTAAGCTCCTCCTACTTCATTCGACCCTTATTTCTCTTTTATTTACAATTTCCGTTTCCTTCCTAGGTTATCGTATCCGTTTGGGTTCAAGCACGGACAAAAAAGACACTGGACGCCTCCACGTGGACTTCGCGCAGGCCAGAGATGACCTCTATGAGTGGGAATGTCGCCAGCGCATGTTAGCCAGAGAGGAGCGTCACAGACGCAAGATGGAAGAAGATCGCCTCCGGCCACCGTCCCCTCCTCCCATCGTCCACTACTCTGAGCACGAGTGCGGTCAGCTGGGAGACAAGATCAAAGGTAGACATGGATGCTGGCAATCTGTGCAGCATGTACAATGAAAGCAGGATATGAGAGCACAGACATAAGAGAAGAACCTGCCGCATGTGTGGAAGAAAATCATTTGCTTCTGTCACATTGTTATTGAGAGAATACAAAAATAGGTCTCATGGCGCCGTCTTTATTCATGCAATCCAAAAACTGACAAGGTAGATAATAAGTCATGACAGTGGTTGAGTACTGCGAGTGTGTGCTTGCAGGGATTTCCCAGTGCAGGACTTTACAGGAACAGCCATAAACTGCAGCCGGTAAATCTGAGAAAGTAATTCTGATGTTCTAACAAATTTGCTTTCAAAAGACGTTACGAAACGGCTGTTAAACACAGTAGATCAGTTTACTCTCCCTCAGCTTCTCTCTTATCTTGTCCTTCCTCCTCTCCTCTCCCTGCACTCTCCTCCCTGCTCATCCTCTCTCTTCTTTCTCCCGTTCTCGGCTTTCTGTCGAGTTTCTGGCTGAATAAACTTGTTTCACTAATGAGCAGTGACACTTCCAGGTCTCAGTCACAGTTGCCTAATAACAAAATGGCTGTGACTTTGTGCCTCTCAACCATCTGCGTGAGTCTTTTTCAGCTCTCCCTTCTCCAGCTCTGTGCCGTTCCAGCCAAGGATTTGTTTCTGATCACTTTGGGCTGCTGTTGTGAAAACTTTTATCCCAACTATTGCTTCAGATTTAGGTTTTCTTTCCAAAGGGGAAAGAGGATTTAGCCGTTTCTCCCAGACACTCGTATAACTCAGATCCTGCTTTTAATGACAAGACGCCTATAGAGGTTTTCACCAAGATCAAACCCTATAAATGGGTTTCATCTACTGTTTTAAACTTGTCTCTGCTCTTAGCTGTTATTGAAGTCCACAAAGTTGTTTGTTTCCAAATATATAACTGTGTCATATTGTTTTTCTTCCATCCAGAGGCACTTGTATGTTTTTATTAACCCTGCTTTTATTTCGTATATGTTCAGTACAGGAGAACATGTTTTTAATATTACAATGCACCTGCGTTTCACAGTTTATTATATGAAACATTTATTAGTGAACAGAAAGCAGAGCATATTTTCAGCTTTTCAGCCTTATAGGATTATAGGTGAGAAGTCTGTGCTTTATCATGCTTGGTGTTTGCCCTCCTCTCCTCTCGTGAGCCTGTACAGGATGCAGCATGTTTTTCCTCTTGTGTCAATCGTAACTCTTACTCTTTCTTGCCCAGATGACGGCAAATTTCCTGAAGCGGTTCGTGTGCTCCTGACCTGGCTTGAACGAGGCGAAGTTAACCGCAGAAACGCCAACAACTTCTACTCCATGATCCAGTCCTCCAACAGCCACATCCGCCGGCTGATGAGCGAGAAGAGTCAGCATGAAAAAGAGATGGAAGAAGCCAAAGACAAGTTCAAGACTGCTCTGGCTGGTATACTGGCTCAATGTGAGTTACTGCAGTCTGTCTCTCACAAACACACACTTGCATATTTCAATTTTTACACTGTATATACTGTAAGGAAGCTCCTTATTGGGCAATACAGGAGGAGGATATGATGGCATGAGTCAAATCCTTTTTGGTTCAGTGTAAGTTTTAGGATAGCACACCCACATTGAATGGAAATAGTTTGTAAGCTAAACAAAGGCACCAAGAATCCAGATCAAGCCTGGAGAAGTGTAATCCACTAAAAAGTAAGTATGACATCGTTCACAGTCTCTCACATGATGCACAGACAAATGTAACTACTGACCTACACACTGCGGTTTAAAGGTTAGGCTTAATAGTGTCATAGCTGCCCTCTTGTCTTGTACTAAATTGTTGTTGGGACCATGGCTTAAAGGTAAGT